GCGCCCTCCTCGGCGGCCGGCCAGCCCGGCGGCGCAGGTACGGCCCGGGCGGGGCGGAGAGGGGCCCCAGGCCGAGAGGACGCGAGCGGGTACCCGGGAGGGACACCGGCCGGAGGGACACCTGGCAGGAGGGAGGGAGAGAGAGATCCCGGGCTGGGGCCGGGCGGGAGGCGAGGGTGGGCTGGGGAGCCTGGCATCGAATGAGGAGGAAGAGCCTCGGTCATCCGCCGATGAATGTGTTCCCTCCATCCCAGCCTGAGCCAGACGGTGGTGCAGGAGAAAGAATCCCTCCTGATGAATCCCGTGGTGAAACTGAGGTCCAGAGAAGGAAGGGAGATGCCCAAGATGGCTCACAGTCAGGGCAAGAATTTGGGCCTCCTGAAGCTCAAAACCACCACTTTCCTCTGCGATTTGGGCAGGGAGGAGCACCGGGCCCCCTCCTATCTTCCTGTCCCAGTCCCTACCTCTCGGTTCAGAAGAATAACCCCTTCCTGAGATTCTGCTTAGTTCTGGAAATCGCTCCATCTCTATCTCCCCAGGTCAGTATGTGACCCTCCCCCCTCCTCCCAGCCCTCTAGCGGCCTCAGTCCCCTCTAGGATCTGGGCTAGAATTCCAACTGGAATGTCCAAGGTCAGGGTGTCAGGCCAGGAAGGAAATCTGAGGAGCCTCCTGGATGCCCAGGACCTGTCTTGTAACCATCCTGGTCTCAACCTCTGTTCTCTTGCCTCTGGCCAGATGGTTTGCTTGAATACACAGGCTTCAACTCCAACCTGTGTTCTCTTCCATCTTCAAACATCCAAGACACTTTGGTCCTTGGTGAACAATTCCATTCCCTTTTGGGTCAGTAATTGGTTCCTGTGGCAGAGCAGAGCTCCTTGATCAGCAGAGCTGGAAGATCATTTGACACAATCCCTAACAGCACACTCAGGGAAACTGAGGCTTATCAAAGTGAAGGGACCCAGCAAATCAGTGTCAGAGCCTGGAGTAAAACTCAGGGCTCCAATAGCCCAAGTAAGGGTTTTCCACTGCTCCAAGCTACCAAGCTCTTAATATGGTTTACTTAAGATTTTTGTCTTCATTACCAAAAAGTCCAGCTTTAGTCTTGCTAAAGAGTGGCTGCACCACACCATTTTCTTGGTGTCCAGTCTCATCTGGGCAGGGATGCTTTGTGCTTCAGGTTGATTTGCGTTGTCTATCCCCTTCTGCACCCTTCTGGATAACGTTGAGAAGGAGCACAAGGGATTCTTTCTTGCACCAGCCCCTGTGGGCTGGATTTGAAATGAAGACAGCTCTGTCTTTGAGCCAGGAAGTGCCGGAGTTCACAAGGGTTAAATTTAGCTGGTAGCCAGATGGTTGCTCCAGGCCAGGAGTCAGTCTAGAAGAAGATTAACTTCTTCTAGAAGTTAATCTTACCTCTGGTCCTGAGCCACATCCCTTGGGGAAGGAACTGGGAGAGGGAGGAGGGATTCTGTATGGGGTGGCCATGCCCCCTAAGCAGCACTGGCACATTATTCCCTGGAATCTAAACCAATATTGAATGATGATCCTTTAATAAGCACCACATTCCACCCTTTTCCAAATTCCCTGCTTTTTGCAACCAGAAATTGCTAAGCTTTGCTATGGGCTTTTATTTCTAGCAGGGCTATCAGAAGTTGGCAATATTGTGAGTATGGAAACATTTTAGGAAATTCAGATTCTCACTTTCTTGGTTTCTGAGAATCAAAGTGCTACTCTCTAGTAAAGGAGAGTGAGATTCAAAAACAATTAATGATGTTGCTAAGGGGGTCTCATTCAGGAAGCAACCGGATGCTCATAGAATTTGCAGCTATCAGGTCAAGCTCCCTGTGTTAGTTTTCCACTCCTGCTGTAATAAATTACCATGAACTTAATGGCTTAAAACAACACACATTTATTTAAGAGTTCTGTAGATAGAAGTCTGACATTAGTCTCACTGGGCTAAAATTAAGGTGTCAGCAGGGCTGCATTCCTTTTGCAAGGATCTAGGGGAGAATCTGTTTCTTTGCCTTTTTCAGTTTGTAGAGGCTGCCCTCATTCCTTGGCTCGCTGCCCTTCCTCTCCATTTCCAAAGCCACCAAAGGCAGGTTGAGTCCTTCTCACACGTCATCACTCAGCTCTCCTTTTCTGCCTCCCTCTTCCACTTTTAGGGGCTTTTGTAATTACATTGGACCCACCTGAATAATCTGGGTTAAACTCCCTGGTTTATCAAGGAGTTTGTCTTAATCACAAGATCTTTGACTTAATCACATCTGCAAAGTCTCTTTTGCCAGGTAAAGTAACATACGTAGAGGTTCCAGGGATTAGGACATGGACATCTTTGGGGATGGGGCATTAATTCTGCTCACTGCACCCCCTGTTACCTCCCGTGGAGGATTCCATGTGAAAGACCAAGTGGAGAAGGGAGCAATCATGCACGTTTACTTTTAAGAATATAGCCTTGCTGTTAGTAAGGACACCATTTGGGTGTTAGTGAAAGCATTGTCAAATATGGGGTTCCTATCATCATGCATTTTTTCTTTTACTCCAAATATGCAAAAATACCTAGATCCATCTCCAGGAAGGAGTTTTAACATGGTTCTTCTTCCTTGCTCCTGATGCATAGTACTCAGGGATGAAATGAAATTCTAGAGTTTTTTTTTTTTTTTTTAAGACTTAATTTCTTTTGTCTTAACTAAATACATGACATACAGCATATTTGAGAGTGGTGGCTCAAAGTCAACTAGCAGAATGTTTACTAGGTACGTGAAATAATGTTGATTTTGCCGTGGGAAATCTTGCCTCAGAGAGAGGCAACCGTGCAGAGAAAAGCCCCTTTGGGCTGAGAGTCAGGAAACTCAGAGTCCAATCCATGTTCTACCGCTTTCTAGCTCTTATGCCTCCCTGGGACTCAGGTTTCTCACCTGTAAGATGGGTATAAGAACAACCTCTGCACGTCCGACTTCACAGGGCTGTTGTGTTGGTACCCTGTGAACTCTGAAGTATTATTGAAAGTAGGATATTATTTGTTTTCTGAACTGAATACCTTCCGGAAGCAGGATAAAACCAAGAAGATAATTTTCAGTTTTTAAAAAAAACTGCACAGAGGCATAATTCCTGTACCAGAGAGGGCTTTTTCTGTGATTAACTGCTTAGCCTAGGAATTTCGTTCAAATCCAGTTTTTCCCACTGCTCACTGAGTAAATGCCTTCTTAGAGCAGCATCAAGTTCCAGCCCCCTATTAGGAAGAGAAAGAACCCTGATTGGCACTTCATGCCCAAAGATGATCTGATTTCCATTATATGGTGTGTGTGTGTGTGTGTGTGCGCGCGCGTGCGTGTGTGTGTGAGTGAGTGAGTGTGCGTTGGGAGAAAAGGAGGAATGACTTGAAAAAGAGGTTTAATAACTGGCTTCTCTCTTAGCCAGTCCTGACTTTTGGATTTGATTTTGGTGGCTAGGAGAAGGAGGAGTGTAGAATGAGATTGTGGGGAAAAGGATAAGAAAAAGAGATGAAAACAGAAGTTTACTGTGTTAGTACAATGTGCCAGATCCTCCTTTGTGGAGGAAAGATATGAGTTCCTTGAGGGTGGGAAATCTGGCTTATTTACTTTTGTAGCCCCGGAGCTTAATACATGGTAGGCTCTCAAAAACATATTTGGTGAATGACAGAATGAAAGAGAGGTGCCTGAGAGAATTTTGGGGTCAGTAGGATAGATACCAGGGGGAAATCTCTGCTTCTTAAAACAAGACACGCTCACCAAGTTGGAAGTGCAGTAAACATAGGTCTGATTCGGTGTCATTCCTCTTTCTACTTCCATCTAGCTCAGGCTAGCTGGGCCCCCAAGTTCATGAAACATGCATGAGTGACAGATGGAGGGAGAATTCAGGGTTACTCTGGAGCAGTTTTTGCCCCCTTGGAAGGCAAATAAAAGAAGGAAACCACCAGAAGAGCACCAGTGTGCCTGGCCTCAAACTCTGCAGTTGCCTGAGGGATCTGGAAGGCCTGGGTGGGGTTCTGTGAGTGAGGCTGCCCTGAGTTCGCCTTTTACACTGTTCAGGACACTTTGTCCCATTGCCTCGGATGGCTGAGGTGCCCAAGAAAGATCTGGAGTCCATTCATTCCTGGAAGTCGAGAGGAACCTTGGGAACAAAAGCAGAGGGATGAGGTTCTAAGTGAAATTCCAGGGCTCAGCAGCCTATAGGGGAGATATTTGAGGAAACTTCGCACGTTGATGCGAATTCTCACTAGGGAATTATGAAGGCCTGGGTGCTTTCAATATCCAAAGGGAGGATGGTCTTGGGGAAGATAGCAGACAGTGGGGTATTTGGAGAGTGTTTAGGGGGAATGTGGGGATGCTGCCTTGCCTGGCCTCCAATCCCAGAGCTCAAAGGTGTTAGGATTGCCCCATTTCTGATTGTGGTCTGATCATTGCTTAGTCTTTTCTGTTCCCCATCCCCTTCTTTGCAGGTGTTTGCAAGAGCAAGCCCTTGGACTTGGTTTTTATCATTGATAGTTCTCGAAGCGTAAGGCCCCTGGAGTTCACCAAAGTGAAAACCTTTGTCTCCCAGATAATTGACACTCTGGACATTGGGGCAGCGGACACGCGGGTGGCAGTGGTGAACTATGCGAGCACCGTGAAGATCGAGTTCCATCTCCAGACCCACTTGGATAAGCAGTCCTTGAAACAGGCCGTGGCTCGAATCACACCCTTGGCTACAGGCACCATGTCGGGCCTGGCCATCCAGACAGCGATGGACGAAGCCTTCACAGTGGAGGCAGGAGCTCGGGCACCCAGCTACAACATCCCAAAGGTGGCCATCATCGTGACAGACGGGCGGCCCCAGGACCAGGTGAACGAGGTGGCTGCTCGGGCCCGGGCATCTGGTATTGAGCTCTATGCTGTGGGTGTGGACCGGGCAGACATGGAGTCCCTCAAGATAATTGCCAGTGAACCCCTAGAGGAGCATGTCTTCTACGTGGAGACCTATGGGGTCATTGAGAAACTTTCCTCTAGGTTCCAGCAGACGTTTTGCGGTAAGTCTTTGCTGCCAACTGAAAAGGAATGTTATATTCAGACGTTGTGTATCCATTAAAAAAAGAGATTTATTTTTTAGTTCTGGTAGAAATTTTGTGGAAAATTTAAATGTAAGCAATGCTTTTTTGGTGTTTTTTACCAACTTAAACACGCTTTGTTGGTTTAGGAATATTGAGCTGCCTTATGTATAACTTGGTTTGCTCATAAAATCCTCATGTTTGCATTAGAAATGTGATGGTCTGGAAACATCCAGGATAAATGATCCTGCTGTTCCCTGATGGAGTCAGAAAAAAATAAAAATAAAAAACTCAGGACACTTCTCTTCTCCCCTCTGCCCACCACTACATTTTTCCAGATATTTTCTTTAGCTTTACCATCTCTAGATTAACAGAACTCTGCTTGTTTTCTTGCAGAAGACAGGGAGCTGCGTCTGTCCGTGGATGGATCAGCTGGCGTGTATGCCAGCGTAACCGTCAGGCAGAGTGTACATTTAGTGATTACTGTAGTTTTCAGATTTGGCTCTTTCTCTGATTATTCTTTGTGGAAGGACAGGATTAGGAATCAGGGAGATGGGGATTTCAGTTCATTTGAGAACAAGAAGCAGATTTTTTTTTTTAATTATTCTATCTTGTCCTTCTGCTCCTTTCTTCCTTTAGATGGAGTTTGAATATATGAACATGCTAATTTAATTAGAATTTTTAGCATAAATTAGCCAAATCTATGAATATGAATTCATTCAAGGCTGGAGTTTATTTTTAGTCACTGAGCATAATTATGAATTTGTGGACTCATACTTTATTTTCTATTTTTATTTTTAAATTTATTTATTTATTATTTGTATCTGGCTATCTATCTTTATTCATGCTTTATCTTTTATCACTCAGAGATAATCTTTCAAAGCCCTCTATGGAATTATCCAAGCCGGTGTGGACAAATTTCTAGTTCAAGTGAATTTTAAAACATAGATCCCTTTTGCTATAGTATATCTGTTCCATGTTTATTTATTCAACATGCATTTATTGATCACTGATGATACAAAGATAAAGGTAGTCACTCCCTACCTTCAAGCAATAGTCTAGGGGATGAGACAAGCAAGTGAACCAATAATTATAATAGTAAATTTCAAGGAGACTTTATATCTAAATTAATGTGAAACTTAGCAATCACTGGTTTATCAGGAAATGGGAAATGAAGACTTGGTCTGGAGCAAAGTTTGGCGTCATCTCAGCCAGACCTGGCCAGGCCCCTTGTCTTTCCTGTCCCAGGACACTGGGCCTTCACACACCGTCGTTGGCTTTGGTGGCATCTACTTAGCATTCATTAGTTTCCCAAAAGAAAATGGCTTTCTTTCTCCCAGGAAACCCCCCTGTGCTTTGGCTGAGAGCTTTTCCATGCAGATGCTGGTCTGTGGCAAAGTTGGGTCTGAAAGCTAGCACCTGGGGTTGGGCTTGAAGGCCATAAAGTAACAAGTGGTGAGTGGCAATCTTTTCCTTCTGGTACAAAAGGCCTGCTTGTTCTGGGGGGAAAATGTCCTCTCTATGGAAAAAAGACTGAGGGGCAGCTTGTTGTAGTCAACAGGCTGGAAACATCTTTCCATGAAAAGGCCCTTCTTGGGAAAATATTAGCCTTGTCCTGTTGCCAGAGCAGTGGAGGCTGGGTTACCTGCCACGGGGGTGCCAGCCTCCTCCAACAGGCCTCCTTGGTTTCTCAGAAATAACTAAACTCATTGATTCTCCTTTCAAAATGTGTCACTAGGAAAAAAAATCCAGTGAGATATAAATGGCTCCAGGAGCAAAATGATGGGGATGCTGTTTAGCTAATGTAATCTCTTTTATTTCGTTCGTCTTTTTCTTTTTATCTGTTTGTATATAGCGTATGAGTTTATTCTCCTTGCAGCTATTAAAGGTGCTGAAGTGGCATGCATATGCATTTGGGCTCAAGAACCCATGCTGCATATTCAGAAGGCAGCTACCCGAATTGCCCTCCCCCATTTGCATATCCAAATACGTATTGCCGCCCAAGAGTGAGTGAGTTCCAGGCCTAGAGGAATACCTGTGGGTGAATTCTGTTTAGACACCAACTGTAGAATCCTTGGAAACCGGATTCTGGCTGCAGTGGGACAATTAGCTCATGGACCTTCAGGAAGTACATTATTCTTCTCATTTCTTGCAGTTGGAAAGCAAAAGTCTTTTTCCTGGGCAGATGGGTAAGTTGAATAAAATATCAAGTTGCCTGACCCATGTGAGTGTTTGGCTTCAGCTCCAAATTCAAAATTCCCTGTCTCGTTTGAGAAAGTCGACAACAAGATCTGTGATTTTAAATTAGTAACATCATTAGTTTAAGAGTGGTATTGGTAATAAACCAGGGGCAGAAACCAAATACCAATTTTTACAGTGAACTGAAGATAGAATGGGAGAGGAACCTGGAGAGCGATGCCTTTCTGACTTGGGAGAAAGTATCTGACATGCGTCTTCCGGGTTGACACTGACTGGTGTAAACCTCCTTTGCGCAGCTCTGGACCCATGCATGCTTGGCGCCCACCAGTGCCAGCACGTGTGCGTCAGTGACGGGGAGGGCAAGCACCACTGCGAGTGCAGCCAAGGATATGCCCTGAATGCCGACGGGAGGACGTGTTCTGGTGAGGCCTCCGTAGGTGGTGGTGCTGACTACAACGTATCTGGGGACTCCCTCTCTAGGGTTTAGACTGGCCTGATGCTTTTCTCCTAACTGCCTTTTGGCTGGCTTACTGTTGCTTTTCAACAGTTTTCCTTGAAAAGGAACTTGAGGAGAAAAGTGAAATAATACAGAAATCGGCCTATTACAATACTTACCACTAGTTTTAGAGAAAAAGGTTAGTAGAGAAAAGGGCCTACTCGCCCTTACTAGCCTTCCTTACCAGGAAGGGGGCCAAAACTCTTGGTTCTTTGGAGGATTTGGACTTTTTCTTGGATTTTATTTAATTAAATACAGGCTATCCCTTCATCTCTATGACCATAGATGCTCATGGAATCTAGAAGTGGAAGAAAATTTAGAGAGGTTCTTACTCTTCTGGTATTTGAATGCTCACGTAAAGTCAATGAAGAATGGGAATTAGGTCCATTTTTTAAAAATCTTAGAGAAGTTTTGAGAGGAAGAAAACTGAGAGATCATTTAATTCAACCTACTGATTTTATAGGTAATGAAATTGGGACCCAAAGAAGGGAAAGGACTTATCCATGTCATGGAGTCTCTTAGTGAAAGAGCCGAGACCAGGAAGTTGGTTCCCAACCTCCAGTTCTGTAGCCTTCCTCTTGTGCCAGGCTGCCCTGTTTCATTAGCAGTGTGTGGGTGTGGGTGTGGGTGTGGGTGTGTGGGTCTTGTGGCCCGTAAGTATTTATTTACCACGTGTTTTCCATATGTTCACATTAATAGCTATCGATAAATGTGCTCTTAACACTCATGGATGTGAACACATCTGTGTGAACGACAGAACTGGCTCTTACCATTGTGAGTGCTATGAAGGTTATACCTTAAACGAAGATAAGAAAACTTGTTCAGGTGAGTGGAGAGGAGGTGTTTCTGTTGCTACCTCCCTCTACCTCCCTCCCTAGCCAGTGTTGGGGGAAAGGTAACATTGATGGGGAGCTTGGTCTGTTTTCCTCTCTCGCCACCCCTGGCCTTTTCCCATTTCTAAGTCTTATTAGAAAAGTTAGAAATGGCAGCATGTGTGTATCACAGCCCATATGTGTAAGTGTGTTGTTCATTTCCTTCTCTGTACTCAGCCCTAACAGTCCTTTCCAAATGCTAAAGACAATTTAGTCAGTTAAAATCAAAGAACACTCCACAAGATACTTACTATTTATGAAGGGAAAAACAGTAACTTCATAGTGGAGAAACCTGGCAGACACCACTTTAACTAAGGGATCAAAGTTATGTCACCAGTAATGACACATAGTGACATCGTGCGTCTCCTGACAAGATGCACTGAGGGCACGGCAGCACTTCTGTGGTATTCTTGCTAAAAATTTAGAGTCATGAGGAAACATTAGACAAACCCAAATTGAAAGACACACTACAAAATAATTTTCCAGTACTTTTCTAAAGTGTTGAAATCATGAAAGACAAAGAAAAACTGAAGAAATATACCAGAGTGGAGAAGACTAAGGAGATGGGACAATTTAATGCAACGTGTGATCCTGCATTGGATCCTGGACCAGAGAAAGGACATTAGTGGAACAGCTGGCAAAATTTGAATGATTAGTTAGATTAGTAGATTAGTAATGAACGAATCTGTAGATTAGTTAATAGTATTATTTCGGTGGTAATTTCCTGGTTTTGCTAAGTGTATTATGGTTATATAAGATGCTAACATTGGGGGAAACTGGGTGAAGTAGAGTACTTTGTATTATTTTTGAAACTTTTTTATAAGCCTGAAATTATCTCAAAATGAAAAGTTTAAAAATAAAAAATAGTTTTAAAATATCATGTCAGGACAGAGAAAAGTGCCCTGAATGAAAATCTGAGTCTTGAGTTCTGATGTTGCTCTGAGTCACTTGGTCTCCTTTGGACTCAGTTTCCCCATTTATAACAGGAGAGGGTTGAATTACAATTTCTTCCAACTCTGTTTTTCTGAATCTAGTGTAATTAGCCACACAACTCTTGGAATCCCTCTGATTTGATATAAATACAATAAACCTAAAAGGAATGCTGTAGAAAGTATTTATGAGACACTTAGATTATAAAAACTCAGTATAGATCATTTTGAAAAAGAGTTGGGGAAAGTAGAAGAGTAATTACTGTATGTATAGGATTTTGTTTAACTTGGCTAACTTCTAGTAAGAGTAAGCATTACTGAAGGCTTTGAATGGTTTCTAATAAGTTTTCCTCTTATACATTTCTAGCTGCAAAGAAGATTTCTATCTGTAGGTAATAAAAGACTTCTCCGCATTTAATTTCTTTTCTCCTGGACTTTGATTTGGCAGCTCAAGATCAATGTGCTTTTGGTAGACATGGCTGTCAGCACATTTGTGTGAATGACAGACCTGGGTCCCATCACTGTGAATGCTATGAGGGCTACACTCTGAATGAAGATAATAAAACGTGTTCAGGTAAGGTCTCCACTCAACACTTTCTTTCACACTTGGCTGTTTCTGCTGCAGCAAAACCAACTTGCAATTCACAAGGAGAGAGATTCTTAAAGGTACTTTAAGGAATTGGGCTTAGGCATTCTGCGGTGCTTATTGACCAAGGCTCACATTGCTCAGAGGGCAATGAGCTCACTAGACTTTGCAAACATCACTTACTTCAGAAAATTACCAGGAAATGGGTAGGGAGTGGGGGATATGAGAAAAGCAAATTGAATGTAGGATCCTTATTCAGGAAAACTTTATAGCTCTGTACACTGGGGACTTGTAAAACACATAGGAAACTTTGGAGGAAGCCAGTTGGACAGTAACTGTTTGGTGTGATAGGCTGAATTGATCTTTTTCCAATTAAAACTTGGCCTGGAACTTTTCTGTAGCATTAATCTTAAAGCTGGATTGTTTTAGTAAAGGAGACTTTGTAAATGACTGAATTAGACTTACACAGATCTTCTAGTAAGTTTGAAGCAAGTCATTCCTGACAGTTTCTAGATGATCAATCTTCGGTGAATCTGAGCCTATGACTTGGCTAGTGAGCCCATGCCAGTACTGCTAATCCTCATTAATTTGATTTAAATGCACTGGCAGAGCAGACTGGCGTTTATAATGTAAAAAGACTCCTAAGAGAAATTCCTAGCTTTCCAGGTGGTGTTTAGTTTGGCATATTCAATATTTTTTAAGATTGTATGTATATTTTCCTGTCCCTTGAGGAGATATATTATGTGACCTTTTCAAGAGAGATTAAGGGAAATGGCATATCACCAATTCTCTTTTTTAAAAAAATGAAATCAATAAAAGAGTGCTGAGTACCTATTTTGTTTCCAGGACTGTGCTAAGCACTGTGGGGATATAAAGAAGCATATTTTCTGCCTCTGAACAACTTACAGGCTGGGTGCGAAGAGAACCAACACCTTAAGAAAGCAGAGATTAAGTAGCCAGGGAGAGGGACTCACAGTAACTGAGGGCTGTGGAGGCTGGGGAGGTGACACAGGGTGGATGGGACTGAGCGTCAGAGGATGGGGAAAGTTTAGATGGAGGAGTTTAGATGGGGAAGGTTTAGATGGAGCTCAGGCATGGGGGTGGCTTGTGTTGGTTTGTTCAAGGGGGAAGGACTAAGTCAGCTGGGATGGGAGGACTGAGGGCTGTGCTACTCAAACCGGTTACAAGTATCCCACTTGGTGCTTTGAGCTCCCAAGAACATTGAAGACCTTGGGAAAGGAAACAAAAACAAATTTACATTTAAACTAACAGATATTATGGAATAAAATGGGACATTTTATTAAAAAGAAAACATAAAACATCAAAGAAGATTTTCAATTGAGGCAGACTGGTCCAGGCAATACCAGATACCAGGCAAATACCTAGCATTCTTCGGTGCCTACTGTATGCCATACATGGTTCTAGGCATTTTAGATACAGTCCCACAGTTAATGCTCACAGCAACTTCATGAGGAAACCGAGGCACAGACCGTGGTCACTCGGCTAGTGAGTAGCAGAGCCAGGATTTGAACCCGGCACTTGCTCTAGTTATACGTTCTCTTAGACACCAAGCCATACTGTCTCATGGTGCAAAGCACAGCATAGCAAAGGGAGATGGAAGAGAAAGACGAGATGACCCACAGTTAGTATTTATATATTTTAAAGTAATAATGGTGATTATACCAAAACGGAGGCATACAACATGGGTCAGATCCCCTCTAACGGCCTGCTTTCCCCTTGCTGGGCAGTAGGAAGGCTTGTAAATTAAATGTCGAGCCCCACATCAAGATCCAGGAGTGGAGGCATGTCCGGTTGGTATCTCAAGAGTGGCCGCTAAGCTGGGATGAGGGAAAAAGGAAACGTTCTGCTCTTAGACATTTTGCTGGAACAATCTGAATTGTAGTGATGGAGGAGAGTATCAGAGTTAAAGTTGGAAAGACATTTTATGGGTAGATTATATGGGGCCTTACATTTCACAAAGCTATTTTATAGGCAATAGAGAGCCATGGAAGGTTTTTGAGCGTGGATGACACTTAAGAGGAGAGTTATTGGGGAACAAATAAACTAGTTTGGCCCCTGCAACGGCAGAGGAAGAACCTGTGTCTCCCAGGAAGCCTTTCTGGGTTTACTAAAGGAGCATTGCTGTTTTCACTTGTTCCAGGCCAGTTTGGTCATACGGCAGTATGGCACTTTTCTCTGCTCCCCACTCAAATTTGGGCAAACTGTCTTCCTCCATGAAATGTATTTACTTGTGACAGACGATAAATACGTCACTATCCAATCATACACATCATCACGTCATCATTATTATTGGTTATTATTTTTCTCTCTATCTGTGTATGTACACGCGTGCATGCGTGTCTGCGTGTGTGTATATGCATGCAGGTCAGTGTTTTCTGTTCCACTTTGTAAGCTCGCAAGGGCTTGCCCTTGGTCAATGTAGTCTTTTTTGTGCAGCATCAGACTTAGCTCCGTGTGCAAGTAGGTCCCTAAATAAGTTATTTTTGGCCATGGCGATGTTATCCATATATAGCTGGAGATGTGGAGGCATTGATGGTCATCAGAAAAGGCTGAAGGTGAGTTCTGGAATATAATCAAGACTCAGTGCAGCCCCAGTGCTGGGGGTAGGAAAAAAGAGAAGGCACCCCCAGATATCTGCAAAAAACAAAAAAGGAAGGAGTGTATGCAATAAAAAGTGAGGCTAATGGGACGTGAGGTAAGGAGAATAGGCTTTCTCTTTCTGAAACATGGGAGACTTGTTGCTGATGACTGAAGGATTCATTCTTTGCACTTGTTGGGACCAAACTGAAGCTTTTTCCTCCCAGAAGTCTGCATTTAGTTTCCTGTTGTGATTTGTGAATCTTTCTTTCCTGCATCACTCCTGGTTAGTTCGTAACAGGTGTGCCCTGGGATCTCATGGCTGCCAGCACCTGTGTGTAAGTGATGGGGCTGCGTCCTACCACTGCGACTGTTACCCCGGCTACACCTTGAATGAAGACAAGAAGACATGTTCAGGTAAAGACCGTCCTTTAAGTCTATTTCCTTAGGAGGAGCTTCCCTCTCTCCAAGTCTGAAGCACTGTTCTGAGTCTTTCTCCTGGTCAGAATCCTTCAGTGGTTCCCAGCTGTCTTCAGAACGAAGCAATTCTATTCCTTCATCAGGTGTTCTTCTCTCCATGATCTGATTCCATCCTCAATCTCTGTTTTTCTTGCTAATTAAAGTCTCTCCCTATCTAAGTCCAGATTTTTTTTTTATTGTAGAAAAACATACATAATATAAAATTTAGCATTTTAACAATTTTAAGTGTACTGTTCAGTGGCATTAAGTACATTCACATTGTTGTGCAACCATCCCACTATCCATCTCTAGAACTTTATCATCCCAAACTAGAGCTCTGTACCCATTAAACCATAGCTTCCCATTCCTCTCTCTCCCCGCCTCTGTAACCACTCTTCTTCATCCTGTCACTACATTTGCCCCCGTATACTTCTCCCCAAGTCCTGTGGTCCAGCCACGTGGACTATTTGCTATTCTAGGAGCATGCCCTGCACTCGCCTGGTTCCATTGTTGCTGTAATCCACTTCCTTCGCCACTTTTACTTGTCAAAATCCAAGAACCACATCGTTGCCAACATTTGGTTTTGTTGGATGAAATTTTGTCAATCTAGTGGATGTAAAGAAGTATCTCCTCGTGAGCTTTATTTTTCCATTTCCTGGTTACTAATGAGATTAAGCATCTCTTCTTATGTTTATTGGTCATTTGAGCTTCTTGTTTGGAAATGCTGTTTATGCCAATTTTGTATTTTTCTATTGGGTTATTTTATTTTTCTTATGGAGTCACAGGAACTCTTCACATTTCTGGATATAAATTCTTCGTTGTTTTTATGTGTTGCAAATATCTTCTCCTAGATTGTGCTTATCTTACTTCTTGATGTCTTTGCAACAATATTCATAATATTTTAATTCTTAAGTAGTACAGTAGGTTTATTAGTGTTTATTTTTATGCTTTATAACTTACATAAGTGTTCTATAAATTACTTTGTGTGAATCAAATATTACCAAATTATGTTTGTTTGTTTTTTAATTCCTAGTGCTAGTTCAATTTTAACCCCCTCTACCAGAGTTCCCCTTATCCTTCTATTAAACTTTATCTTCTCTTTTAGCACCAGACACCTTGTGTTGTGGTTGCTTGTGTGTGTTCCTTCAATCATTCCTTCATCCATTCAATATATATAGCACATACTGTGTTCTAGGCACCAGGTATTCAGTTGTGAACAAAACATAAATGGTCTTTGGTAATAGTATAGTATAGGGGAGAAATGCAAGTAAAAAGCAAAGTTATAAATTAATAAGAGCAATGATAGAAGTGAACAAGGTCCTCAGAGAATGGGGGTTGGGGGAACCTACTTCAGGTTAGGAGGGTCTCTCTGAGGAAGTGACATTTGAGAGCTGAGGATCAGCAGTAGTTAGGTTGAGACTGGAGTGTGGGGAAAGAAGGAGGGAGAGCAATGCTACGTCCTGTGTGATGGCTTTAATGGGGAGAGGAAGTGAAAGGCAGCCAGTGTGATGGAAGCACGATCAGTCAGGGGAAGTGTACTAATAAGATAGTTTGGGGATTTAGGCAGAGGCCAAACCGTGCGGATCTTCTGGGCCAAGAGAAAGGAGTTTATTTTTTATTATATGGGAATTGGAAGTCATTGGAGGGTTTTAGGCAGCGGAGTGACATAATTCTGTTTGTATTTTTAAAAGTCACTGTAGCTGTTATATGAAGAGTAGACTGGAGAGGGTGAAGAGCAGAAGGGGGAGACGAGTTTGGAGGCTATTGCAGTGGTCCAGGCATGGGCTAGGATTGTGACAATGGTGATAGAACTAAACTGATTCAATGAACTAAGTAGAATGAACAGGGCTTGGTGATCAGTTGGATGTGGGGGACAGAGCAGAGGAGGAATCAGGATGACTTTGATATTTCAGACTTGAGCAACTGGGAGGATGGGGTATCTTTATTGAGGTGAGGAAGACTGGGGGTGAAGCAGATTTGGGGGAGAAAGTCAAGAGTTAGGTTTTGGACTTTTTTTTTTTTTTTTGTGGGGAAGATTAGCCCTGAGCTAACATCTGATGCCAATCCTCCTGTTTTTGCTGAGGAAGATTGACCTTGGGCTAACATCCGTGCCCATCTTCCTCCACTTTATATGGGATGCCACCACAGTGGGGCTTGACAAGTGGTGTGTTGGTCTGCTCCTGGGATGTGAACCCGCCAACCGCGGGCCACAATAGCGGAGCACGAGCACTTAACTGCTACGCCACAGGGCCGGCCCTGGACTTGTGTTTTTATGTTCCTGCAGATTGTAAACCCCAACCCCCCAGAGTGGTAGGTCTTGTCTGTATTCCTAGCATCTACATAGCACCTGATGGTTACTCAGTAGATATTTCTTCATTCAAATTAAAGTATGGATCAGTTTCTTGGGGAGGGTGAGAATAATGAAGAGCAGCTTACTTTTAGAATTTGAATATGTCTGGGTACTGTCACCCTATCTAAGTGTTTAATCTTCAGAAAAATCAGTCTTGGGCATTTTTTCTTCTCCTAGAGGCTGGGGAATCCAGCATGGTTTGTAATGTTTTAGGCTCTGACCTTATTTGTTTAGCCATTCACTTATTGATTTGTTCAGCAAATATTCACAGAGCTACTGTTATATATCGAGTACTCTATTAGGTCCTGAGGAAGGAACTGGAGACAATCATGTTTTGTCATTTGCAGTGCACAAGTCTTGCTCTTCTTTTGTTAAATTTATTCATAAACATTTTATTTTATTTTTAAAAAATTTTTTTGTTGTGGTTTTTTTTTTTTTTTGAGGAAGATTAGCATTGTGCTAACATCTGTTGCCAATCTTCCTCTTTTTTGCTTTTTTCTCCCCAAAGTCCCAGTACATAGTTGTGTATCCTAGTTGTAGGTCCTGCTAGTTCTTCTATGTGGGATGCCTCCTCAGCATGGCTTGATGAGCGGTGAGTAGGTCTGCGCCCAGGATCTGAACTGGCGAACCCCTGGCCGCTGAAGTGAAACACGTGAACTTAACCGCTCCGCAGCTGCGCCGGTCCCAATATTTTATTCTTTTTGATGCTATTGTGAATGGATCCATCTCTCAATTTTCAATTGTGCTACATCTCAGTTTTCCAATTTTCTATGTTTTAATTAGAATGTCCCACTGAACCCCTGCCCTCACAAGGCAAGACAGACACTGAAAAAGTATCTTATGTATCCATTTTATACTCTGTACAGCGATGATGGGCATGTCCTTGATACTCGGTAGATACTTTCTGGCATATTGACTGATTAATTGACTGATTGAGATGGGATTTGAGCTGGCTATCCCTAAAAGGTTCAATAGTGTTTGGAAAGGTAGATAATATTTAATCAAGTGAATTTCTGGTTCCCAGTCCTGTATCATATCTTTGTAGAATGTGGGAGAGAATGTAGAGGCAAAGGACCACTCCCTGTCCTCAGGCAATAGACCACTCAGTTGGAAGATTATACATCAGTCTTCAGATCTGGGCAGTCACTCTTATTTCCATAAGGCAACTTTAGGGGCTCTGGTATTGAGTAGGAATAACTGCCTCACTGAATTACAGAAAGAAATAGGAGTGAGCATTGTCATTCTCCCAGGTTCTTTGCTTAAATGTCAATAAAACCTGAACATTTAGTTCCAAAGTGTTTATGAGTAAGAACTAGAACTCTGAATTCAAACTATTCAGTAGAATAATAGTCTGTATAGGAAATTAGGAATTATCTAGTTTTAATCCTTGAAATATTTGGCTGTACTTATAGAGAACTGTTTTCTTCATTTTCATTTCTTAATGAGGACATATCACAAGAAGCTTAATTGTCTTATCTCTGCATTTTTGACTTCCTCCTACACCATCTTTTAAAAAATTTACTTTATATTATGGAAAATTTCAATCACAAAAGTATGGGGAATAATATAATGAACTACCATATAACCATCACCCAGCTTTGACAACTGTAACCTTTACCTAACATCTCCTAATTCCATTTCTTCTGTGACATTAACATTCCAAAGTATTTTTTCCTTTTTCTGTGTGTTCTTATATCCTTTTACCTCCTGGAAAGTGCATTTAGGTCAGTCTTAAAATTGGAAATATTGAATCATAGATTTCCTGATTTGCTGTAATTTCTAATTAGCTATAACATTTTGCGTACTGTCATTGTCGGCAGCCATTGAAGAAGCACGAAGACTCGTCTCCACAGAAGATACTTGTGGATGTGAAGCCACACTGGCATTCCAGGATAGGGTCAGCTCATATCTGCAGAGACTGAACACCAAACATATCCTTTCTGGAAGGTTTTCTGCTTCTCCTTGAAGCCAGCCTAGGTACTACAATTGAGCCAAATAGCTTGGGACATTCCACAGGATAAGGGTCCTATTCATTAAGTTTCAAGATGAGCAGTAATAATATGCAGCTTTTATTTTTTAAATTGACTTCTTTTAAAATGTTTTAATAGAGCATTTCACTCATTTAATATTTACATGTAAAAGCTGCCTAACTATTTCTTTCTTTAGTGCTTTTCCATAGCAGTATATGCTCCTAATTGAGATCTTAGTAACAGATGGAGCTCTTATGCTGATTCCTTCAGATGGCTTTCTTAGTTCAGAATCTGTACATGTACAGAATGAGTCAGCTGATAATGGGGTGTGACAGCTCAGATGACACGTAGTTGTACACTTCGGCTAGCCAAGTGGTCAAAAAGCAGATTTCAAAATGTAACATGGTACCATCTCAGAAACTTTCAAAATCAGTTCTTTAGCCAAATGAGTAATTTAGGAAAAGTACTTTTTCTTAGCACAGTTAACAACACTGTTCCTAGGGGCCTGAGGGGAGTGGTATTCAAATTGCGATGGGGATACCCTAGGAGTATGCAGAGACTTTGGGGGGAATAGGGGTGCACAGAACATTTTAAAGGAACCAGTTCCAAAGCCTTCACTTCCTTAAATTGATCTGCCTAAAATGGTACTTGGGGTCAGTTGGCATTCTCTTTTCCCATCTCTCACTTCAGGATCACCATTCTCCTAACTTTACCCAAGAAACGCATACCTCCCACTCAGCCTGAGATTACCAAGGTGAACTTCTTGGAAAAGTACAATCTCCAGAGCCAAACAAAGGGAAGATTCAATAGCTTTTTAAATCAAGGCTTCATTAACACTGCTCCCCTATTCCATTCCATTAAGAGATACCTTTCCAGTTAAATTTTACCTTTTATTTTTAATGATTTTATGTCAAAATTTGTAATTTATTTTGTTTGGATCAATTATGTGTTCATAATAGCTGTAATGGTAATCCAGATGATTAAAAACAAAATTTAGGGCCTTTATGGTCAAAGAAAATTGATTTAAAGGTAATTTCAATATAAATGTGTGTGTGCTTGTTGTTTGTATAAGCTTACTTGAGAAGTATAATAGAGTGATCCAGAAAAGATTTCCAAGATTCAAAGTGGAATAAAATTCTGTGGAGAAAGTAGAAAGGAAATACAAATTCAAGGAAATACAAATTCCTTTATTTTAAATATTTTATTTTAGAAGAGTGATAGTAGGTATTAATTCAGTATGATATTAATATTATGTGGGTTACATTTGAAAGACTGATTTAAATGTTATTTTAAAGACTCAGTATTTATAGCAGAAACTGCATATTTTGTAAATAAAACATGATGATAATTTTCATATAATTTAAATATGCATGACATGACTTATTTTCAAGATTATTTTAGGGGATATATGAGCAAAAACGTCTGAAGACCACTGCTTTATATCGTGCTTTCTAAAGAACAGAATTTCTGAGTTTTAGATTAAACTAGACTTTTGGTGAGAAAACAATTTTGCTCTTTTTGTTTACAATAGAATGTAATTATTTTCTTTTGTATTGAAGTGTTTGAAAGTATGTTTACATTTTCTAATGTCTAAAAATCAATAGTGTTGGCCTTAACAACTAGCCACTTGATGACGTTTTGGAGAAGTTGCAAGCAAATGAATATGGACAAATACATCGTTAAGTTTCTCAAATTTTTCACCTGGAAAATATGGAGAGCTTGGTGTATTTAATACTTTGCGTACTCCAATGTTCCTGCTAATAATTTGCCATTACAAATGCCTGAATATTACTGGATAAGTAGTATGAGGATCTTCTGGAGAATCAGTATCATTTTTCTAAGGAAATAAATGTCCAGATCCTCATTAAGAACAAACTTTAGTGTCTAAGCTATGACTGTGAAATGGTTGGTAGAAATAGAATGAAAAGTTTAATGTTTCTTTCTTTCTTTACTAATTGAGCCATTTAATTTTTAAATGTTTATATTAGTAAGATAACCATACTTACAATGGGAACTTCTGATCTATTTTCTCTTGATAATATTTATGGTATAAAACAATCTTATTACTGAAAGTGTAAATTGTACAAAGTATTTACACATACAAAAGTTGATATAATTAAATTGAGAGGAATATAATTTAGAACTGTTTCTTTAACATTTTTTGTTTTTACTAGAGTATTATTGAAGCTGTGATCAGGGGATTATAATATACATATCTAAACATAGTTAACACAGATCAAGTGAACATTACATGCCATTTTTAATTCATTCTGATGTTAGAAAGAAACACACAACTAAAGACTTTAGTTGTGAAATAAGAATGTTATAACTTTTTACAAAGGGCATAAAATCCTACATTTAGTTTATTGTTTTACTTTAAGATCCTATCAATAAAATTATATATTTATAAATATTGCTATAACAAGTAACAAAACCTAATGTTGTCTTTTTAAATGTTAGTGATAAGCCTAACTTTTTTTCACTTATATATTTGATACATGTTTTTAGCTTTAAAACTTATAACTTTTAGAAGAAAACAATCCTTTAAATTGTGTACTACTCAAGTCCTCTTTTGGTTTGTATTGTCTTTGGTATAATAAAAAAGTTAGTATCTTTATATATTATTGTCATCCCTTTTTGTCGTGACTCATATCAATTTTGTCTATTAACATATTTCCTTAAATTTAAACTAAATTAACATTTATTTTGAATATATAACAGTTTCTTGTCAAAGGACAAAATGTTGTGACTCTTCCTATAATTTAATCTTATGCTCTTAAGGTTAAAAATGTAAGTTCAGGGGCCAACCCCGTGGCTTAGTGGTTGAGTTCGGCATGCTCTTTCGGCGGCCTGGGGTTTGGGTCGTGGGCACGGACCTACACCACTCGTCCGCAGCCATGCTGTGGCAGCGACCCACATACAAAATAGAGGAAGACTGGCACAGATGTTAGCTCACGGCGAATATTCCTCAAGCAAAAAGAGGAAGACTGGCAACAGATGTTAGCTCAAGGCGAATATTCCTCAGCAAAAAACCAAACAAACAAAAAGTAAGTTCAGGTTAAATAGAAAGGCTTTAATCAAGAATGTCATGGGAGAGGGAATAAAACAAAATTATCTAAATTTAGATAAAATATTGTTGAGGGTACATTAATATATGTGCCTGAGAAGCAAATATAACCTCAGATGTAAACCCAGAAAACAGTCAAAAATCTAAAATATAAACTTTAAAGGGAAGAAATGAAAAATAAATACATCAAGGGAGTATATATTATATGAAACATATTGTTATTTCTTAACATTTTTGAAAGGACATGATATACAGTAGTTATTTTCCAAACTTATTTGAGCATAGAGTCAGTAATGTTAATATATCACAGAGAAATGGTGCTATATAAGGAATAAGAGCTCATGTGCAAGAACTAGGGAAAGGTATTTAAAAAGATGATTTTTAAACAGTGTGACCATCAGTAACTAGCTTCAACTAATCATGTCTTAAACTTGACCAGTTGATTGGAATCCCCCGGCTTAGATAATACTGATTTGTTTCATGAGTCCAGTGTAGGGTGCCTGTGAGCATGTGCCAACATATCTTAGGAATTTACAGTTTGGTGCTGAAAAAACAGATACACATACATTTGAAAAGAAATGCATATATTATCTGAATGGGATGGGGGTTATGTGTGGAAAGAATTTCCCAGGGAGACCTGCTTTGTGTGTTTGGCTAGGCACAATTGGCCAAGAGGGTAAGGACATCATAGGATATATAAAATGGCCTTGGAAGCAGAGAGGAATGGTAGGTTGCAGGAAGTATATTGGCTTTCTTAGAGTGGGGGCACCATAGTAAAGACATTTTAGGATTGAAGGAAGATCTGATTTTAGCTGGGGTTTAGATTTGATAGGAAAGGCATTAGGACCATTTCAATTCTTGAGTGTGCTGGGTGAGGCAAACAGACTCAGGTCAGAGGATTTGAACATTTGCTTGAGATGGGGAAAGAAGCTACTGCTGCATAAAGTACATGCTAGATTATACAAATCAACAGTGGTAGCTACAGAATGTGGGAAAAGGAAAAACCAGAGAGAAATAAAAAACGGTGAGACTAAATAATTTCATGCGAGTTTCTGCCCTATACCTAAAATTGTGGTGATTTGTAACTCTCCAAGCATTCAAAAGGGACAAAGGAGAATTGAAGAAAGAAATATGGTAGAACAAGAAGAGAATATTCAACAGTCGACCCCAGGAGAGAAAATACCAAGCACCTCAATTAGTATTTAAAAATGGAAGGCTATACCCCAATTGCAATCATATGCTGTAATGGCCCAAAGCTCATACATATTGTTTTTATAAGGACTCTTGGGCTGCAGTAACAGCTTAAATAAGATGTTAAAAAGTTCTGAAACAAACGTAATAAACACAATCTCCTGTCCCCAAACTGCTCCAGAGGGTTCTCCAATTCCCAAAAGCGCATGGGAAGGTTTGCAAGCTCTGAAAACGCACATTCCCAATTTCATGTGGCCGACGGTGTCAGTTTACCAAATACAGTAAATGAATTTTCCCTTTCAACAATGTTGGGACTTTGGGGCTTACAAAATACCCAATCATTGTGACCTCATTTGAACGAGCGCCTGTCCTGAGTCGATCCTGACACCTCAGGCGAGCTCCACCGCGACCATCCCAGGTGTGGCAGGTGCTCCGTGCCCTCAAGGACTGAGGGCAGCTGAGACGAGGCGGCAAGGCGCTGAGGGTCAGCGACGAGGCCCCAAGCAGGGGGCAAAAAGGCCCAGAAGCAAACACTCCACGTCCAACCACATCTTCGGCCCCGCGACCACCGCTCCTACAAGGTCCCCGCTGCCCGCGCAGGCGCACGACGCCCGGGGCCCGTGCGAGGGCGACACCGGAAGTGCCCTCGGCGCCCCGGATGCGACCGGGCGGCGGCGGTTGCCAGGGCGACGGGAGCTTCTGCAAGCCGCTGGTACATGCGATTGGCGACGGAGAACAAGTTTCGTGCTGCGGGCCTTGACGGCGGGGGTCGTCCTGTCGGGGTTCCCAGGATGTTCTTTTACCTGAGCAAGAAAGTGAGTTTTTTGGGGGCGCCCCCGCTTCTCCTCCGTTCTGGCGTCCTGCGGGCGATTCCCGCATCCTGCCGGCGAAGCCAGGCGCCTGATCGCGGCTTCGCCATCCTACCCCAACCGGCCTCTGACCTCCTCCAGCCGATCCTCGAGTCCCAGATAGTCCGTGGGGGGAGCGGGGGGGCGGCAGCCTCCTCGCACGACTGTCTCCCATTACTGCCCCAGGCTAGGTCCTTTTGGGGGGTCAGCAGGGCAGAGCACTGCGTGCTTGCCTGTCTTTCCCCCTGCACCTGTTGCTGATCCAGGTGACTTAAATTCTTTGGATCATCCCGGACCCCTGGGCAAGAGAAACGTAATAACAAAAGAGTAGCCTAAGTGTTGTATGTAGAAAGGGAATATGGACTAATGGTATGGATTTATACCTCCTAACCGCCCCCCCCCCCAAATTTATCTGGTGACTCCGGTGAGGGGTTCCTCCGCAGTCACTGCTCTTCTCTCCTGTTCTCTTCTTTCTGTCTTTCCCAAATGGTAGGGCCCGGGGAAGCTCAGGGGACTGTGCCCGCATCATAACAGCTCACTCTTTCATAAGGGTGACCGTCTTTCTTCTTGGGGGATTTTCTTCAGCCTTCATCTCCTGTGGACTCACTTCTCGACTCCTTCGTGACAAGTTGTGTGAGTGGTTGTGGTTGCCTTTCAGATTGCCATTCCCAATAATGTGAAGCTGAAATGCATATCTTGGAACAAGGACCAAGGATTCATAGCATGTGGTGGTGAAGATGGATTACTGAAAGTTTTGAAATTAGAGACACAGACAGGTAAATGAATGCAAGCCCAAATGTTTGAACTTGATGGAAGATTGGCTTGTGTCATTTGTTCAGTGAGATTTGCTCATGGTATTCGTTAGTATGCAATTCTAATTCTTTTAAAAGGAAAAAAACAAAATCCCAAACATCTTGTGTTTTTGTAGAGCATTTTTGCAATAAAGTTCAGAGAATATCGAATGTAAACGTCAGGTGGCTTTTGCTGAAGTTATTGATGAAAAGTGAAAAAGAATGAAAAATGAAAATTAAGCCACTGTGCTGTCTTGTGCTATGTCTGTTTGTTGTGCTTTATTATTAGGAGTCTAGTAAAAATCGTGTGAATCAGCATTTCAGTGAGTCACAAAATCTCACATTTTGGCAGATTATTTGTAGGCCTATCTCATCTTTTCCACTTATCAGATGGGTCAATTATTATGTATCTAGTTCCCAAGAACAGAAAACGGGGTTTTAAAAAAACCCCTTTTTTTTCTTTTTTTGCTGAGGAAGATTGGCACAGATGTTAGCTCAGGGCCAATGTGGGATGCCACTATAGCATGGCTTAATGAGCAGTGTGTAGGTCCACCCCTGGGATCTGGCCCTGCAAACCCCCCGCCGAGGAACTTAACCACTGCACCAGGGGCGAAGGCCCTAAAAAAAAAAACTTTTTTTTTTTTTTTTTTAATAAGTCTCTTGTCATTACAGCTTAATTTCTCTTCTTCTAGTTCTTTGGAATCATAGCAAACTTCACAAAGCAGAATTTCACATTTCTTTAGCATCCCTAGTGTTGCTCTAGATTGGAGATCTAGATAATCCCCTATCTGAATTGCAGATCTAGATAAGGAGATTGGAGTTGGAATCGCTGCTCTGCCATAAGACTTCTGAAGGACTTTCAGCAAATTGCTGAATATCTTTGGGCTTTAGTTCACGCTTTTGTGAAATGAGAGGTTGAACTAAATTACATTTTGAATTCCTTACAGTATTGTGTGTCAGACTTTATCAGGCATAAGAATCATCTGAAGAGATTGTTAAAATGGATGTCTGGGCTCCAGCCCCAGAGTAGATCTGGGATAGGGTCTGAGAATTTGCATTTCTATTGATACTGGTGTTGCTTGGTTCTCAGATCACACTTTGAGTAGCGCTGCTTTACAGTTTTGAATGTGGTTGGAATCATAAATGTTTACTGATCATTTTCTATGTATGGGGTGCTTAACTTTCACTATCTCATTTGACTTGACAGTAATCTTGAGAGGTAGGTATTCCAGATGAGAAAGCTGAGGCTCTGATCGGTTAACCACGGGCACACAGCCAGTAAGTGGCAGAGCTGGGATTTGAAACTAAGCTTGTCTCATTTTTATGTCTTTGTAACCATTACACAAAGTGCTTGGTGGACAGCCTAAGCAAAGAGAGAATAATTGTTTTCATGTGCTAGATTAATTATATGAATAAAAGGCAGGTAGATACTTATGTACCAATTAGAGATTGGCTTCTGATGTTTAATAATTTAATGTTTCAGTGCTTTAGTTTTCTTAACTGTGTTAAAATAACTTTTCTCTGTTATGCCTTTCAAGCAGGTATATGTATATATATGTATTTTTTATTTTGCTTAAAACATGTAGCAAGTTTTAGTTACATTAAGAAATGCATTCATTATGTAAAACATCGAAGGCTTTTCCAAAAAAAATTGCTTTTTTTCTCTCTCTGCCCTTTTGATGAAGTATAGGGTATTCTTTGAAATTAGTGAGCGAGATGGAAAATAGATTCTTGAGGTTTGGAAAATGGAGTAAATTATTTGTTTTTGAACTTATTGAGTGTAAATCATGTTGAAAGAGTTAAATATGAGAAATATAGCTGGAAGATTCTAACAAGGTCAGTATATTGTATTTAATAATAATAGTTGTGATGCAGCAGATCCCTCTGGTAACAACCACCAGATGTTACATGCCTACTACATATCAAGCATTGTGTTGTGCTGAAGATGTTATGTTGTAAGTGTGGTTTTGTAGCTTTGCTATCAAATAGCTAAGTTATTATCATTCATCAATATAATACAACAACCTCTATATCGATAAAACGTCTTCTGTAGCATCATTTTTAATGGCTGTTTAGTATTCCATTATGTTGATATATAATAATTAAGTTCTAGTGTTGGGCATTTAGATGTATCCACATTTTTACTATTAAAACAACCATATCGGGCCGGCCCCGTGGTTTGGTGGTTAAGTGAGTGCGCTCCACTACTGGCGACCCGAGTTCGGATCCCGGGCTCCCACCGGCGCACTGCTTCTCCGGCCATGCTGAGGCCGCGTCCCACATACAGCAACTAGAAGGAT